TTTGATCTGTTATTCTTCTTTCGTGCTTTGTGATTTGAAGTGTTTCGGTTAAGTTTTACTGTGATTGAACTGCTTTGGAAGTTAAAGTGAAAGTTGCCCACAACACACACACACACACACACACACACACACACACACACACACACACACACACACACACACACTCTGGTTTTCGTGTTTGGGGGGACAAGACACACACACACACATATTCTGGTTTTCAGTGTTTGGGAGGACACACATCCCACATACATTTTGGGTCCTTGCTCCCTCAGACAAAGGAATTGGCCATTTTGTTTTGAAACTACCTCCATCTTGAGTTACATCACCTCAGACTGTTATTTCACATTATCATCTCATTGTTTAATCACTTGTTATTCGTTTGATAAAATAAGTCGGTTGATGTTGATAGGCTAAACACTTTGGGAGGAGCTGAAGTGGGTATATTAGTTAATAAATGTTATTGCCAATTAAGTTTTGTCTCAGGTGATTTGTTTGTGTTGATATAAATTACAACTGCAGCTCGTTAAAGATTTGACGATAGACAGATTGATAGAGGTGTGGATCCATTGTTCCCCTGTTAAAAGCGGTGGTGCCCCGAGGACATCCAAGGATTTCCTAATTACGTAATAAATCAGTAAATATTTCCATATTTACGAATTTATTGATGAATCCAAAAAAGTAAGTAAAGCTTACAAATTATTCGTTGACTAATAATCACAACAGTTGGTAGGAGGTGGAGATGGAGGGTTGAGCAGAGTTTTGAATGTTGAAAATAGTTTCTGAGAGTCAGCAGAGCGGAGAATTTGACCCCCCCCCCCCCCACCCCTGCGAGAGCTGCGGGTACCCCCCTTCCTCCCCCCACGCCTATGATTGGTGCACCCAGTTTCTGTGGAGCTGGCATGGAAACTAAACTACACTCCGATAGGCTGACTCGAACCACGCTGTACAGAGCTGTTTCAGGCTGAGTGGTGCTCTTCAACTTCCTTTAGGCCAACCGTTTCAGGTTTACATGGTGGATTTAAGGATTGAGGTCTGTGCTAAATTCTGCTTTTGCCACCAAACACTCATGTAAGATTCAGAAAACATCCTTCTTTTGTAGATTTTAGTTCCATGTGGGACCAACGGCCATGAATGTATCCATTTGAGTAATTCTCTCGGGTTTATTATGAAAACTCAGAACCATTCCCATGTGAGGTTGATGTTTTACAGCGTTTATCAAACAGGCTGCATTCAGCTTTAGCTGGCAGGTGCTGTTTTTACTCTGTAAACAGTTTTAGTGACAGCATGAAACCAGAGCTTTTCTGGAGTTGACTCCTTACTGCAAGTGATAATTAAGATGGCACCCTCCAAAGTGTTTTTTTATTTAGTTATTTGTAACCTGAGGCTTAGATATAAAAGAGAAACTTCAAACAGCAAGTGAGCGCCTAATTAAATTTCTCAGCAAATTAATGAGACGCCATGTTTCTGCCTCTGTGAGACGATTAGTGAAGCGACCAGAGTTGTGCTCCAACAGTGTCGATGTTTGGCTCCAAACCAGCTCATAAAATTAAAAGAACCTGCAACGATTTGTCTTCACCTGTGGGTCAGATTTGGCTTTTCTGTGTTGTTGTTTTTATTTTTTTGATAGATGGAAAACTGGATTGCTACTGGAATCTTTGTTCTGCAAACATCTGGATGTTTTCATAGAAAGTATTTACCTTATTTGCTTATGTGTGCCTGGAGGTGGACATGAAAAATGTGAGATGTTTGCAAATGTTAAGCAGCAATAAACGAATCTCCACCTGCAGGAAAACAGAGCCGCCTTCACGCAAACATATTAAAGGGATACTTTGCAACTTATTTTTTTAATCATTTTCTTAAGCCAGTATGTGCCAAAGTGAACATTGCTAAGCTGAGTCCCATTCTGTCCCGCTCTGAACTTGAGACAGTTCTCCACTCCTTCATCTCCTCACGCTTAGACTACTGTAACTCTCTTTTCACGTGTCTGAGCAGAACCTCCCTGAACCGTCTACAGGTGGTTCAGAACGCCTGTGCTCGGCTTCTGACCAAGTCCTCCAAACACACCCACATCACCTTGCTTCTCCTCCAGCTTCACTGGCTGCCAGTCAACTTCAGGGTTCATTTCAAGATCCTGGTTCTGGTCTATAGGGCCTTACATGGACAAGCACCATCTTACATTGGTGATCTTCTTAGTCCCTACAACCCAGCAGGTCCCTGAGGTCCAGTGATCAAAGTCCACTGGTTGTGCAACACACCAGGCTAAAACCTAATGTATGCTTCCCGTCAGCTCCATGAGGGAGAGACTCGCACACACGGATGGAGATGTTTTGCCTTCAGACTTCTCCGTCTCCTGGGAAGTGTTGCAAAGCAATTCCCCACCAGGACAACAGAGAGCGTAGCGCTGTTTTGTGGTATCCTGTCATGTATCTGAACCTAAAGAGTACATTTACTTTTGTGTTTATATTGTGTATTACTCACAATGGCCCCACAGATAAACTCCGTAGTGAGGTCTTGCTTTTATCAGCTTCGCCGCCTGACTCGCCTCAGACAAATCCTGAAACTGAGGCATTTGGAGTCAGGCATCCATGCCTTCATTACCACTCGCCTGGACTATGCAAACACCCTCCTCGTTGGTGCTCCGGTCTCTGCCCTGAATCGGCTGCAGGTCGTCCAGAACGCTGCTGCCAGGTTCTTGACGAATACACACCGACGTAGCCATATTACCCCTGTCCTGGAACATCTTCACTGTTTCCCTGTCATTTTCAGAGTACAGTTTAAGTTATTGACTTTTGTATTTAAAGCACTCAACGACCTGGCACCTCCCTATCTGTCTGACCTGCTCACTCCATATGTGCCCACGCGCACGTTGAGGTCGGCTGACCTTTTGCTGCTGTGTACTACCCAGATGCGATACAAATCGCGGGGTGAACGAGCATTTGTGCATGCTGCCCCAAAGCTATGGAATTCGTTGCCCATTGGAGTTCGGCAGGCTCCATTACTGGCGGTTTTTAAATCTCGTTTAAAGACCCACTTTTATGATTTGGCTTTTAGACAGTGACTCATTTGAGTGTTTTATTGTGTAATTGTTTTAATTTGTTCTTAGTATTCATCATGTTTTATCTGCTTTGACTGGTATTTTTATCCTTTGTTTTATATTCCTTAGAATGGTTGCGTTTTGTTTTAGCCTGTGCAGCACTTTGGGCAGCTCCCATGCTGCATTTTAAACATGCTATATAAACTATGGTATGGTATTTCAGTTACTATTTAACACAGACAAATGTGTCCCTCATTCTCCTCCACCTCTTCATGTGATCGCCACCTCTATACCCACGTTTACCGTCATTTCTGTCCACCAATAAAACGCTTGCTGCGTATCTTTTCAATCCTTCAGGTGAACAAAACGTTCATATTTTTAGAGTTTTTCCACAAGGTATTCTTCAAGCCTCTCCGTGTCTGCCGCTAGATATCTTTGGCTCTCATTATGTTTTGATGGAGCAATGGCAGTGCTATTGATGACAGCGGCGCCCTGACCAATCAGTCTTGCATTCTCTGTCTAATCGGATGGATGTTTAGAAAAGAGCTTGACTCCGTCTGTCCTTACGAGCCTGCTGGATAGCCCTCAAAAGAATGGGTAATGGCGTTGCATGCATCCATCCCATTGCAGATGGAGCATAAATTAGGCTTAAAGACCAAAGGTGACAGATCATTTGCTGCTGTGACCCCCAGACTCTGGAACTCTCTCCTCCTGAGATCAATGGACTCAGCGGTCTCCTTTAAAAAGCAGCTGAAAACTCATCTGCTCAGGTTTTGGTGTGACCTTCATCAACATCCTCTCCTTATTTTGCTCTTGATCCACTGATTCCCTCTTTCCTGTCCATTTTCTCTTGTGCGCTATAGAAAATATAGTTTTCTTTATTTCTTTGACTAGCGAGACTAGAACTTACATTAAAGGCTATTTATTTTAGTTGATTTAATTTATTTTCACTGAATCTCAGTTTTTCAACAGACAGGCTAAGGTGACTAAACAACCAACAGCCTAAAATATGTTCCACCAGCCAGTTAAAGGGGTAATCAATGTAAAACATGCTTTGTACTTCAGAAAATTCCACCTTAGGATTCAGACCCTTTGGTCTTCACTCCTGATGTAAACAATGCTCCTATTAGAAGAAAGAAAAGATGTTTCTGCCACAATTACAAAAATAAAATAAAACCTGTCTAACTGAGAATTTAAAAGCTTCCAATGGTTAAAACGAAAGCAGAAACCTCGTTTTATTAATTATGCATAAAACTCTGTGAGTCAGTTGAAGATAAAAGAAGCAGTCAGTGAGTTTTCAGGTGTTAAATGCTGCAGTTAAAACCTGTTGCCTTAAGCCAAAGTCAGACCTGCACGCATGAAGTGACATTTCATGACTTTTTCAACTAAAACTTTGACCCATAAACACGGATTTTGTTACTGGGAAGAAGCTTTTAAAAAAGGAGGCTTCAGATTTGGACCATTTTGTCTCCAACAGCCTCATAACAAAGCTCTAGTAATGAAACCCGAGGAGAAGGAGGTGGCTGGCCCAGCTAGGTCTTCTGGACTTTAGTCCTGACTCTGACGTCAATGAGAACTGTTAAAACTGCGTGGACTTTAAGAAATGCGCACAAGTGAGGGTGTGGGTTCACAATAAAACTTATACTAGAGCTAAACTTAATTCAACTTTTAGATAAAGTGAAACATGGAGAACAAGGAAGTGTGCTGAATTCCCCAGACTATACTTATTCCCTAAATAGGAATGTGCTAAATCCATAAAAATAATAAACCAAAGCCGGGACGCGTGACTGTCCGGCTCTGCGTCCGCAGCGGCGCCATGGGCACAATTCTATTTTACGCAGAAGTGTCTAGGATAACTAGGCAGACTAGCGCAGCTCTGATGACCCGAAAGAAACAGACCAATAATAATAACCCGCACACATGCACGCGCGTGCACATAAACTGCTTTTTTTAAAATCAGTCTTACCTCTACCTCTTCTGCAAGAGCCGAAGTGGAGGACGCAGGCGAGTGAGACGGCGCACAAAATCCAGCACGTAGACAGAGCCATGCTGCTGCGCAGGGCGCTGATCCAAGAGACTGAAAAGTTAAAGAGGAAAACTTCCAGTTGTAGGGGTGAAGTGTGTGCGTGTGTGCGCGTGCGTGTGTATGGGTGGGTGCGCACTTCCGCTTGATAAGAGCGTCAGTCTGTAGGCGTGATGGAGCTGAAGTTCTCAGTAATTTCCTGATGGATGACATTAAATATGAGGTCATTTTTTCCTGTTGAGGAATTTTAAAAGTTCAGGGAAGATTTTAGGACGAAAATGAGTTTAATCTGCTAAAAACTACTCAGAATGAAGAAAAATGAATTCAGGTGTTTTTATTGAATTCATCTTCCTTCAAATGCCACATCAAGTTGAAAGGTCCCCTCAGATTGCCATCATTTGAATGTTTTTGTGATTTCTCAGTAAAAAAAATACTGAAATAATGAAATAAATGTTTACAAAAATGCTTATATCTGCATGTTTAGGAGTCATGAACCCAGTTTTCATCTGTTTAACCGATTCAGGCTGTCTTACTCCCATCACTGATAAGTTTAATGCTGTAAACTCTATGACTCAATTAAATCACATCAACACACCCTGAGCAAACAGTGACGCGTGCATCAGGTCAATGTCTGAGTTTAAATTAATTTTCTCTTGTATTTTTCTTTAAAAACTTCCCATTAGGATTATTTATATCCCATCAGTCCAAACTCTGTGTTACAGAGGATAAAACCGAGCCACTTGCAGTTTGCCAAAGTACTTGGACACATTTTAACACCCTGAGGTTCATTAATTTGGTTTTACAGCATTAAAGGATACAAACTCATTATTTACTCTCAGCTGTAAGTGACCTCACTTCTTAATGCAAACTTCCACATTTCTGGGAGAAAAAGTCCCAACAAGCAAATTAGGTCAATGGACCAAATCTGAGCCAAAAAGCTGAATTTTGGAGAAAAGGAACAGAAAATTAGGAACTCATAAAGAGGTGAGGGGGGTGAGGACAGACAGGACTGAGTCATGCTGCAGTCAGGTGTGGAAACAAAGGCTGTAGATTGTTTCAGAGCCAGGTGAGACTGATTAATGTTGCTGCAGGCGTTCTCTAATCCACCTCATATACATGCAGCAGGGCTCAGAGGTCTTTAGGACTGTTTGGACAGCAGCCAGACCAGCTGGATGTTTCTCTATGATGTCCCCACTGTGGTTTGGAGAAGATGGTTCCGGTTAGCAGGAACTAAAACAATCCCATTGACTTAAATTTTCCCTGCTAATATTCCCAAAGCTGAAATTTGATCTCCCGCCCCAGTGGGACGTCTATCAGAGGGCTCTCTAAACTTTACAATCCAAAGAAGAGTTTTCTCCCTCAGTCCACTGGAAAAACAGAGCTGCATCTGTTACAGAACCCTTTTACAAAAAGCTATTTATTATTTTGTCAAATCTACGGAAGAAATTAGTGCCACTAAAAACGTTGCTTGTTTTTTTGTCTCAGATTATTAAAATTAATGGGTTTTTTTAACCCTTTTTAACTAATATTAGAGATTTGTCATTTTTTAAAGCTAGTTTGTTTCTATTTTAGGTTTGAAAAACAAATTTTCAAAAACAATATGTATTACCCCTGGGATGTTGAAGGTGGCAGAGCATACTGTAAAAAATGAATAAATAAAAAGATCTAAAATATTACTATTAATTTTTGTGATGTTTCTTGTGGAAATTCAAGGGAATTATTTCATGGAGAAACTAAAATGTTACTTAAATATGCATGTTTTTTAAATATTATTATTTATTTTATTTTATTATTTAAAAGCATGAGTTTGTTTTTGCATTGTGGAAGATCCAAAGAAGCCACTTCTGGGTTACAGACCCCTGGCTGATCGCATGATGAACCATAGAATGCACCAACTTTTATTTTCTTGTTATAGAAGTCTGCCTACAAAAAAGAACACATGCCCCTCAAGCCTGATACATTTACATAGAATCGTGTTAAATGGCAGCATGATTGGAATAAATGTGTGATGGAGGCTAAAGAAAAAACTAAGTGGTTTGTCATTATTGCAGAAAGGATCAGTGATCACGTGCAAAATTAGCTTTAGCTAGTGTAGCGTTATGAATATCATAATTGTCTGCCCTTAACAGCTGCCCCTTTACACAGTAACAACGTGTAGGAATCGCCAAGGTCGGGTGCTGGTTTCAGAATGTTTACACTCCAGAAGAAGAAGAAGAAGAAGAACAGAAGAAGAACGCTTTTAATTAATCAAAGTACTTTATTTGTGATAAAGCTAGTCAAAACATATGTTGATCAATAATAATCAGGTGAATGATCTGTGAAATAAAGATGTCATGAGTTATGTGTTTAATGAATAAGCAGGACTGCACCAGACAGACTGATCTACATTAACATGGAAACGCATGACACATTGTTCTCAGCCAATCAGAACTTTCGTCTGTCGTAGGGCAGAATCTGGGTTGTTTAATGAAGTTGTCCAATCCGGTTTACTAAGATTTATAAACAACTAGGGGATATAAAACAAGGCAACACCATTTTATCCTCAGTTCCATTTTAACCTCAGTTCTGTTCAGTTGGAGGTCCTAAGGAGTTCCATCGTCATCATTAAGAAAGTTGCAGGCTGGCCAGCTGCACTTTCCTACTTTAAGCTGAGAACTGTCAAGCTGGAGATTTCCGTCGTTTGAACAACAAGACGACGTCCCTTCAAAATAAGAGCTGAACTCGCTGACGCCTGCCGCTGCTACCGGAGTCGACCCGCAGACGGGCTTTGTAGTGCTGCGACCAGTGTTTCACCAGCTCCAGCACATCTGAAGGTCCGAGGACCTGGCATTTCCTGATCTAACACGGGAGGCTCCATATGGTACGTGGTCACGGCAAAATGGCAGCTCATGTCATCAGCTTCTGAAGCCTCGTGATTTGTAGTCATAACAACCAGATCCGCCTACGTCAGCCTAGAGATTCTGAACCACACACACACACACACACACACACACACACACACACACACCAACACGAAACAGCCAAATCCATGTGCATCCATCACGGAGTTAGTCCTGGTAGATTGTAAGAATTTATAATTATAGATATTAAAGATTCTTAAACGATCCCAACTCTCTCTTTTCTTGTCTCTCAGTCAATACAGAGTGTTTAAGTAAACTCCCTGATGATAAAAACAACCGCTTCTGATTATAATATCTAGATCTAATTACAGTGGATAAATATACGATCTATATTTCACATTTACATAGAATCGTGTTAAATGGCAGCATGATTGGAATAAATGTGTGATGGAGGCTAAAGAAAAAACTAAGTGGTTTGTCATTATTGCAGAAAGGATCAGTGATCACGTGCAAAATTAGCTTTAGCTAGTGTGGAATTTAAAAGTGCCTTTCAACATTTCAGTGTGTTTTTCTTTGTAGTTGAACAGCCTGTCTTCAGAGAAATTGAGCTAATATGCAACAGGACAGATTGGTTAACAGCTAACTTGAGAGCTGGACCAAAAGTCAACTTCAAAGTAAAAGCACTTCACCTTGGGGTGTGTGTGTGTGCGTGTGTGTGTGTGTGTGTGGGGGGGGGGGGGGGGGGGGGGGACAAATCCTTATTTATTTGATCATATTTAATAATTTACACAATCAGGATGTTTTTTATATATTTTTATGAGTGTAGAGCTTTAAATACTTAAAAATGACTAAATAGTCAATTTATATTTCTATTTGAAGAATAAATGTCTGAAAATAAGCATTTATATTACAGTGCAGGCCAAAAGTTTGGACACACCTCCTCATTCTATGTGTTTTCTTTATTTTCATGACCATTTACACCGGTAGATTCTCACTGAAGGCATAAAAACTATAAATGAAACATGTAGGATTATGGACTTAACCAATAAAGGGAAATAACTGAAAACATGTTTTATATTCTATTTTCTTCAAAATAGCCACCCTTTGTTTTGATTCCTGCTTTGCACATGCTTGGCATTCTCTTGATAAACTTCAATTGATAGTCACCTGAAATGGTTTTCCAGCGGTCTTAAAGGAGTTCCTAGAGGTGTTTAGCGCTTCTTGGCCCCTTAAATGGTTATGGTCATGAAAATAAAGAAAACACATGGAATGCGAAGGTGTCCAAACTTTTGGCCTGTTCTGTATATTTCATGGAAAAAGTATAATGCCGTAATCCCATTTTTGAAGACAAATGTTGGGAATCTGCCTAAAAGTAGCAAACTCGGGTTTCAGAAACAAAGGAAGTGAATTTGCCAAAGGCCTCTTTATTTCTTTGCTTAAATAAACGAGCCTTGTAGTCAGAAGCCGAGGGTGAATCACCGACTGATGGGCTGGTTTCTTGGTGTGTGTGCTTTATTGTGCTTTTGTGCACATGCTTGGGGATGTCAGTGGACAAGAATGTGCTTGTCTGGGAGACTAATCTTACTGAGCATTACTCACCCTGTTCAGGGAATCAGAGCCTCTCCACCTTCTCAGTGGAAAATGGGGAAATAAAAAAAGTCACATGTTCAAATCTCCAGAAAAGGTTTTCCTACAACACAACCTGGATGCTCCTGGCTGAAGCGCTGATTTAGAAACTCAGCTTTCAGCTGGAATTCAGATGTAAATATTTAGTTTTTCTTTCAACAAGTGGAAATGTGTACAAATTATTACAAAAATATAACATTATCAGCAGGTTAAAACAGTAAAATGTTTAAAAAATGCATGTTTGTGTAACACTCTTGTTGGAATGGTGCTGCAGCAACGTCTGGTGTTTCTGACACTGAAGAGTAATAAAATTAACCGAAGAGCCTCGAAATTTCCACTCATTATAAGACCTGTTAGGAGTCATCTATTAAATCATGCAGAAACCCTAACCCTGTCCAAAAAAACTATGTTTACTTATTGTTCTTTCCAAACTTCTATGAACAAAACTAAGATGCTAAACTCTAATTGACTAACTGATCATTTTAAAATCCTTACATCTATCTATCTATCTATCTATCTATCTATCTATCTATCTATCTATCTATCTATCTATCTATCTATCTATCTATCTATCTATCTATCTATCTATCTATCTATCTATCTATCTATCAATCAATCAATCAATCATAGGGCCGTGCAGAGACCTTTGACGGCGCGGGTGCTCAAAGTAAAAAAAGGGGCACTTATGGAGCAATCCAATAAGTTAGAAAATTCAGATAATGAGACCCTTGGGTTCAAACAACATAATAAAAATATATAAATCAGTGTCATTAG